ACGGTTTCGCAGACCAAACAGATGTCATATATTTCTTAGTTTATTTGATCGAGTCTCATCCTTAAGTCTTGTGTTTATCCCTCGGGATAGATACATGATTTGAGGTAGAGCACTCTTTCATTTAAACTGTGCAAAATATGAGGTCAGTTTGATTCCATATTTTTCAAAAAATATATATGTATGTAAATTAAACGTCCTTCCGAAGCGGGCGACGGGACTTCACTTCCAGCGACCGACAGCTTCTTACGGACAACTTTTGAACAAATCACCCACCAAATCTTTTTTAACTCCCCCTCCCTTTTAGCTGTCGACATTATTATGAACCATTAGATCTCAAAATCAGTACTAGCACACTTTTTATGTAAATATTTTAATTTGTTTATTCTCTTATCTTTTTTAACTCCCCCTCCCTTTTAGCTGTCGACACCATTATGAACCATTAGATCTCAAAATCAGTGCTTCTTGTAAAAAACTATAATAAGAATAAGAGAATTTATTGCAAGAGCAAATCATATTTATTATTAATTAATAATTCAATAATTGATCTCCCTTAATTTCGCGACTTTGATTCTTATAAATAAGGTGCAATGGGATTCCCTCCCATTTCTTATTTGCATTGTAACTCCTCTCATTCGAATCGGCCAAGCTTCCAGGCATTGTGATAGAGAACGTATCAAACCCCTCAAGTGATATCTCAACAAAGATTTGATCTATTTCATCTTCGGAAAACAAAAATGATGGGACCGTCGAAAGGTGAAAGAAAGAAGGAAGTCATCGTTTAGAACAGAAAACAAGTTGCACTTCACTGCTAGATTAGATGGGGTTGTCTAATTCGTTCCTCGATTATAAATGGAGAATGTTCAGCTGGTCAGCCCGATCATTGATCCGATGGTCAAATTTTAGGCTGCTGAGAGAGGCAATGATTGTTGCTCGGGTAACCAAGAAGAAGGCCAGTTGAACTACTCGCACTGAGATTACTTGCATTAAAACTGCTAAGTGTCGGGTAGACTGAAACCTAGGGTGGTTCGTGTTGGAGAAGACTTGGTGTGAAACTCGTTTATTTTGTTTATGATTCAACTGGTATTTTTTAAAGTATTGCCACAGTCAAGCTAACCCTCATCAACAGGTCAATACTTTCAGCACCCACTAAGAGTCCTCTTGTCGGTTGAAGGTCTTTTGGGCATGCATCAACCAAAGGCCGAGAGGAGTGCTAGTCGAGTGGAGTCGAGCCATCGAGAGGAGAAGCTTCAGCAGAAAGGCAGGAAGCAACATCTGCCAACCCCCAGGCGGCCGCTCCAACGTTCATTGATCTGTCTACAAGGGACGAAGCCAGCTGGCCTTCTCCGATTGGCCCGAAATGATCTCTCCAAGAGGAGCCCAAGCCAATCAAACACGAGTTGGAGCGTCGTCATGAGGGGAAAGCACCGGCGACCGGTTCAAGCAACTTGCCTCATGCACCGTCTCTGAAGAAGCACAAGGGATCTTCGTTCAGGTGGACTCACATGCAAGAGGCGACTACGAAGGTAAGAACGAGCCCAAACAACAGGTTCATGCCGATCAATCTCCGAAAAGACTACATTTTGATTCCCCCGTGGCGTCTCGCTACTCTTTGATGATATTCGATGTTATTTGGTTTCATGACTTTGAACAAACACTTCCTCAACAGATATGGGGTTGTTGGCCAACTTCAACAACTTAGCCAGCATCCTCGACAGCTGCAGCCCAACACGTATTGAAAGGGTCCATCCTTCAACCCCTAAGTTAGGGTTACATGAGCGATTGCGAGCTTTAAGTCTCGTACTTCCAACATTTCCTTCTGGAATTGAGTGAAACGAACGCAAACTCTCGCTCTGCCATTGTCGAAGTTGTAGAAGAGTTTGGGAGTTCTTTCGTGGTTTTCGGGCACTGCAAATTGCGCCACAAAGATCTGCTTGAAGTCAGTGAACGATATGATTACTCTCAACGACAATCTGTTGAACCATGTAAGAACCAACTCTATCATCTTGGTAAAGAAAAGACAACATTTCAGTGCCTCTGTGATTTTTAGCAAACACATGGTCAACACAAAGACAATATTTCAGTGCCTCTGTGATTTTTACAAAGTCTATTTGTCCATCCTTTGTAGGACTCCAGTGCCAGGATATAGAATCATCCTGGTGGCTCGGCCTCAGAGATTTACTAAGAGAACGCATACTTGGGTTGTCAAGGCGCTTTAGTACGCCCGATTCGATGTTGATTATTTAATGCCAACCCAATACTATCGAAGTATTGGGAGTCTCATTCCCCTTTCAAGGTTGGGGG